GACTATTGCTGTATAGGAAGTCGTAGCCTTGATGCGTCGTTAACCCACCTGGCGGAAAGGTGGGGTTACATGCTGTGGTGTATCTTATCGCTGCGAGATAGTGTCTTTGCATGTGCCAAGCCGTCCCCCGCTTCTGTCATTGGGAGCAACGAGGACTGCCAAGATCGAGGCACTAGTACCGCCGAAGGAATGAGTGGTGGTTGAACTATCGGTTAGGTAAAGAGGAGAACTTGTTATGGCACGCCTCGACTTCGGCGTTCGTTCAAAACTCCAAGTGTCTTTCGGCACATCGGGTGTCAGAGATCGGCATAACGTCTCTAGACAGTTAGAAGTGTGGGTCAGCTGTAGTGAGGCACTATCGCATGGTTATATGTTAAAGATTCCGTAACATGGAAGATGCAGCTGCGGCCTGAACATGACGAAGATCCGAAGGATAGATCGATATCCCCAATGAGCAGCGCAAGGTGAGCGCTACATGGTCACTAAAGAGGCTTCGATCCCCGTACGAGCCAATATGTTGATATGATCCATGTCTCCTATGGAAGATGTATAATTTTGAGAAGCGGTTGTCGAACGCGTAGAATCGAATCCGAATGTCAGGGAAATGTGATGGGTTTCTCTTGAGAAAGGCGGCCGAGACGGGTTACGCGACGCGACGGGGATCGATTGGGGAGTCAATGTCGGCCGAGATGACAAGATTCTAAGCTTGCTTTGGAACTGACGCGTAAGCGATAAAGGGACCAGAAGATGGCAGTGTGGGCATAAGATGTTGAGCTGAGAGGACGCGCCGTGACGCGAGAAGCTAATGTTGCCAAGACGGAACGGCGATGACGTCATTGAGGTGCGCCCTCTCACCTATCTCTGCATCCCTTCATCGCATCTACCCAAAGGTGAACCATCCAGTGAAGAAATCATCGTTGCTATCTAGAAGCCTCTACAAGTACTGAAAGTAGTGATTACATTATAAGTAAGAGCTATGTATGATGAGAGGTTATGTGATGTAAGTCCGATCAAAACGTCGTGCCTTTACCTTTCTTCTTCTGATTCTTCGGCTTCTTCTCTGTGGAATTCTGCGCGGTCTGCCTCGGCATCCTCTCGCTTCCGTCACGTTGCTTGTGCAGCTCGGGATGTCTCTCCTGAAGAACCTTCCCCAGGTTGGCCCTAGAATACTTGGCTAACTTTATCGAGTTAAGACTTTTGAGTGTCGTCTTATCCCAGCCTCGATAAAGCATTTTCATGTTTCCGGGGCCAGATTCCTCGTAGAAGCAGCCTGGGTAATATACTTTTTGGGCAGTAGCAGAAGCCTGAACCATTGTGGTACAAATACACAAATCGCCCTCCAGGATCGTACCCCACCGAGTGGGGGTTACAGGAGTCTTTATCATCTCATCCAGAACAGCGGCTACAGTTCGAAGACCATATCCGTATGTGAACCACCGACCTTGGAGCGTTGTATCCTGGGTATAGTCGAATGCTTCAAGCGCTTCGAGCAGTATTTGTGCAACGAGACACACCTGTGGGCGATGGGCCTTGCGGAATTCGTTCGGGTCAAAGTACAAACTTCTCTTTGACTCGACTAGCCTGGAGTATATACGAGCCCACATTTTCGCGCACTTGTTGTGTAGGGCTAGCCAATCAAAATGCAGATCGATAGCATCAGCCCCCATACACTGACTGAGTTGGCTCAGTATCGCGTCCGATCTGTTGTTTTTGGCTCTCGCTTGGAGTACTTTGATGGTTTTGGCATCTGCCGATGGGTCGAGGTTGAGTTGACGAAGCAACTGAGTCATGCCCTCTTCACTCCGAACTAGTACAATCCACTTTGACACCATCGAGTCAACTTCATTGTCGCTGCTCACTGGATGGTTGAACCTGTTCAGAAACACATCCTTCAAGATACTAGGGTCCACAATACGCCGAACTCGCTCGGAGTCGTGTCGTTCCCTAGAGTCTTTTGTCGCCTCTTTTGAACGCAACATGGGAGACATGTCACAGGCCCATTCAAAGAAAGTAAGGGCCTCTCGGTAGTCTGTCGGTCTGTTCTTACCAAAGAACAGTCGCTCAGGATTTTGGCGGAGAATGAGCAATTCCATGTCGGGCCATGCAGGGCTATCTTCAGAAAGTAACCGAGTCGCTGCATAAAGATATATCATGGGCCGAATGCAGTCCGTAGCCGTTTCAAACTGGAGACCGTATTCGTGGAGATCCTGAAACATGCTGTACTGAAGAACACCGCAACCTAATGGATGACGGCGCAACAAAGCATGATTCTCACGCTTGTATCTTGATAGATGAGGAAGGTGTATTTCCTGCAAAGTCGCCTTGAACACGTCTCCCCTAACCCAAGCCTCGGCATCGACATGACGCTGCTTAAGAGTCTTAATAGGCTTGGTAAATGGCTTCTCCGATGTCCAGTTCCACATGTCGATCTCATCATTGTCACAGAGGAACTCGTTCAATCGTTGGTGGGACACCTCCACCCACATCTTGAGTTCTTCTAGTGGCGCATCTAGACGATCGCCTAGTACATCTTGAATGTCGATATAAATTTGGGCGGCAAACTGTACCCAGATTGGAATCTCTTTGTGCTCCACCATGTGCCGAACGCCTCTCACTATTTCGTCTTCAGCAATACTGTCATATTCGCCTTCTGATATGGAAGGCTGCTTGATATGAGTTTGCCACTGCATCAGATGACACATCTCTGCGACTCTTGGCAGATGCGGGTGCCAATTGTCCCCGGATCGTCTGAATCTGGCAGGGTCAAGCTTATTTATACCTCCTTCAGGAGTAGCATAGAGGTACCACTTAAGACCAGAAAAGACGGAGAATAAAGCAAAATCGCTCTCGTCCTCAACGCCCCTGCGGTCATGCTTGAACGGCCTCATATCTGCAAATTCCTCATATGTGAATTTCTCTTCGAGCCCAGGAGCCCACTTGTAGTATAGTAAGGCTGGCAGCTTCCAAACTGGAAACACGTCCGCGGGGAATCGTTTAGGTCGTCTGAGCAACAGGGCGAACTGTCTTTCAGCTAGACGGACGACATCTATTGCTGTGTTCGTCATCAACGAGCAGACGTTGTTCTCCAGCATGCCATGCTTGTACGAAGTCCATATGGATTCAATGTATTGACGGACATAAAACACGTCCTCCATGAATATTTCAATGGCCAGGAAGAATTCATCTTGAACCTCCATATCGTCGAAGTCGATGTATACGGGTGTGAGGTTGTTGAATGGCTCCTCACTGATAGTGTCGGATTCGTCGGTGTCAGGCATCGACAACGAAGCAAGTCTGTCACTGAGTGATGGCATGGTATCTGCCTGGGGTTCAGGTTCAAAACGTTGCCCTGTTGGTCGCAGCACGTCTCGAACCTTGCCCAGAATCCTCTCTGTGAAATGGGTATGTGTGCTATCTTCGAGTTGGCTGCGTTTGCTTTTGGCGCCAACTGACATGACGTATCGGGTTTCTCTGCGGCGCAATTTGATAGCTCGAGAGATTGTTGCTATCACATCTTGCGGAATCGTAGGCTGGGGTTTGTGCGCCGCGATGGTCTCAGCCATGGGAATGAACTCGGATGTTTTGATGAGATATTCGGCTTTCTTTCCGCTACCAGATGCTAGACTCGGTGGTACGGCGCTGGTAGCATATCCGCAGTTTATAGCTGTCTGGCGAAGCCATGCCGCTATATTTCGCGTGTCTTCCGTATACCGCTTCACCCGAGATCTAAAAGTAGGCGGAGGGGGTGGCCTCGTAGCCGACTCCATGACAGAACAAAGTCCTGTACAAGATGCAATACGTTGAAGATGATGGTGATGCACAAGCACAGGAAGGTAGCAGATGTGACGCGATCGCGTGGGGATAAACGGCAGAATTACCAGGCGGTGTGATTGATCTAAGCTACTTACATCCTAGCGCGACGATTCTACGTGGATACGCGCACCCGTGGACGCGTCTGTGTGGACGCTCAGAGGCTCCCCTAGCCATCTTTCGCTTTCGCCAGTCATTGCGAGCATCGTACCTACGACTTTGTCACATAGAATTCTTCTCCTCGATTGAAGACCGATCAGGCTCGTGTCGCCAATTCACGCTCGCCAGGAATTCTTCCATCATGCCTTTCGCCCAGCGCTCCCAATGAGCGACTCGGACCGTTGGACCGCGTTCTCCATCTCTTTCGCCTTTTGCGCGCGGACCGCTGCGTTTATGTCGCCCTGAGAAGACGTGCAGGGCTCGTTAGCTGGAAGCCGCCGGGCAGCTTCGTGACGAGCTGCAGGCTGATTGTTGGCCGGTGCTGGACGAGCATCACCGTCATCATCAGACTCACTCCCGACCAAAGTTTCAGCTTCAGAATCATACTCGACTTCTTCGTGAGCGGGTCGTGCACGAGGCACACCTGTGGCCTTGGAAGCCTGAGCTTCGCGAGCAGTTGAAGCAGCATGAGCGGTCATGTTGAGAGGTATCGTGGCGCTTTGGTGCGATAACTGCCCAGGTTGCACTCATACTGGAGGCCTAGACGCAGCAATTATATGTCCAAGATTTTGATTTGACCAACACAGATTATCAGCCAGATGACGAACGACGAACGACGAACAACGAAACGAAAGCGATGTCCAAACGTAATACATACCTGCTACGATAGCACCCACACCATGATCGGCCGCGCCAAACGGAGACGCCATAGCATATACCTTAGCTAGTATCGTGTGGCCACCGGTCTATATACAACACACTGTATGATGTAATTACACATACGTGTAGGGCTGGGGCGCCTTCATTTGCCTCTAGCTCAAGTTTACTTAGCTTACGGCGCATCCATTCATCTCTTCCTGGCCAACGATGCATTTGCAGCTCCTTACAGGCTAAAACAAGATCTCCACCAAACGGAACAACGCGAAATCAAAGTTACACGGGTCGTCTATCCCCGGAGCTTGAGACACCAACGGGCTTTTCCTCGCCCCCACCCACGTTGTGCTGCCAGCAGCCACTCAACAATGACTGCATCAATTCCACCAACCTCCAGCACGATGCTTCGCCAAGTTCAGCATTTGCTCGGCTTTCTCCACTGGCACAGGAGCAAAGTCAGCGTATGCTTCACATGGATACGTGGAGATTACTTACCTTTCTTCTCACATTCCTCGAACTTCTTCTTGGCTTCCTCGTACTTTTCCTTTGCTTTCTCAAACTCGGTTTGGGCCTCAACATGTGATCGCGTCGCCTGTTCGACTGAGCCCGGCACGTCGTAGTATGGAGTATCAAAGCCGGTATCCCACACTGGATACCCTCCCAGACCACCCATACCACCATGGCCGCCAAAACCTCCTAGATCGAAAGCTGGCCATTGGTATCCCCGCATGCCATGTCGTTTATGCCGTTTGAAAGGAGCAATTTCATACATCGCTTCGATGCTATCGCGACTGGTGGAAACGATGCCTGTCGCAAAACCAAGCGACAAGTAAGGGTATAATGATGTGCGGAATTTTGTGAGAAGATGACGGATGAGTATGAGCTGATCTTATACCATAGACAGAGCACGCCTGAGGCAGACAGAATGGTCCACGTGTGCCAAAAGCAGGATCTCACAATTCGGGAGTTGAGTTGGCTCCAGGGTCACCAGTGCCACTCAAACGTTTCGCATCGTGAGTCTTGACCTAGGGCGACGATAGACTGCGTAGGGTCTACCAATAAGGAGCATTGTGTTGTCATTGCGGGAGCGGTCTATCATCGGAAGCTATTCTTCATTCACTCAAGCTTCTGGGCGGAGGCAAAAGCTCAGCCACGTCTTTTTGTCTAGCCGACCGCTAACAAAGTTGAGCAAACAACGCGACCGCGTCGATCGCACAAGAACGAACGCGCTCCTCGACAGACGACTGTACCGAGGTGCAGTGAGGCATCAGGGTTTGTGTAGCGCCTGGAAAGACTCGAAGTCATATGCTGAATACAAGACGTAATGTGGCCGGCTTTCACCACTCCTTGTATCGGTTGCGACATTCCTCATTGCTGGCAGAGATAGAGCAAACCCGAAATTGACGCGCGCAAACGTTATCGGGATATCCGATCGGTCGTTACCCAAGACGTGGGGTATCATAACGAAAACCATTGTACGCCCCGTTCGTCTGTCTTACGTAGCCGAGGGTTTCACGATGAGAATCTAAGCGATCTGCATGCTACCAAAGAGGGGCTGGTGTTTGGCATACGGAGGAATTGTCCGCTATTTGTGATCTCAAATGCCACCAGAGCATCGCCGATATTCCATGTCGCCGCTTCATTCATCATATCGTTCTTTTGCGAATCATCAATGTCGGCCTCTCACCAACGAGCGCCAAGTTACTCCCAGTTACCTCACAGGCATTTTTTGCCACCTGGTTTGACCGTTGTTCAGTCGGCTGGCTACCACGGGCCGATTCCCCGACATTCATACCTGCGTGGAACCATCGTAGCTTGTACGACCAATGTACGGCCATCCCGGATGTGCTATACTATTCAGCACTCCGCGATTGTCTTGGCGATTGCTGTCTTTACTGCTGACCTCATGACTTATACGTCAATCACCGCTTTCTAGGCATGTCGTGGCTATCTGCAACCGCATAGCATATACCTGGCTTGCCACTCCCTAGGACACCGCAGCCTATACGTAATACAGGACATCAAATGAAGGTATATCGACACATGCTGTCATATAAGCTCCTGGTGCACGCCCTCACTGGTCAATACAGAGCGTTCGAGGGGTAGCTAACTTTACTCAGATCTGTGATACCGAAATCTGACCGGCGGTTGGTCCCGGGTTTTCACATGTACTCCATGCTAAACTCGGCTAGGCATTGAAGAAACTCATTCTACCACTGCAACGCTTAGTGGTAGCCCAATATTGATCGCGAAATTGCACAATCAAGTATACAACGCATACACTCCTCCCAACCAACACACGCCTTATTCATCTCCAGACAACTATTGTTGACCTCATCATGGGACGCCTCATATCATACTATCGCTGCATTGGTCCGCGCCGCCTCCGTGGATTGTCTCACGCATCTTCTCCCTCTCTTCTTGCCACTGCTTTCTCCTGGTCCGCATGTCCTCCATCATCGCTCGCATGTCGTTGTGAAGGATGTCGCTCATATACATCCAATCGTAGGGATTGTGCATCGGCGCTCGCGAAGATGAGCTTCGCGCATATCGTTGCTGGTAAGGTCGAGGATCAAGCGGAAGATAGTAGGGCGATGCGCTGGATCTTTGGTAGGAAGACATGACTGCTATGTAGCGGACTTCTCGCGATGAATGATGAATGGGGATTTAGTGATGATGTTGCTAACAGGCTACAGATAAAGAGTGTTGTGTTGCTACAGCAAGTACCCACGTAGATGATAACGCGTCGTCATGGAAAACGACAAACAAATGAGCGAACGGCTACGCCAACGAGATGACGACCAGAAAATCTACCGAGATTCTTGGAAAAACGAAAGTCACGAGCCAGATGCGTCCACCTCAACGCTAAGACCTGTAACAAAACTTGTACAGCCGCTGGAGTCTTTCCCTGAATGCTGCCATATCCTGCTCCATTCTTCTACTCTCAACAAAGGCATCGGCCCACATTTCAAACAAGAGGTCGCGTTCCATGGGAGGAGCCATGTCTCTATCCAATGGGCGTGGCGGTGCAAACGGCATTCGTTCGTTCTGTCTTCCATCGGGACGACGCATGATCGGCACAGACCGATGAGGAAACAAGTTGCGGGGCATGCCTTGAACACCACGACTGTATCCACCTGGCACGACGCCCCTTGGGTAGTAATCTTGGACGGATTCACCGTGAAAGGGTAGAGCTAATCGAAGATGATTTCGACCACTTCGACCACGTCGTTCGATCGATTCGGGAACGCCCTCAACGGAGTACCACACAGGCTGAGCTTGATGCGCATTTGCAAAGACCCTAGGATCGAAGTTCGCAGCATCTCGGAAGATGAAAGTTGGAGGTGGAGCTATAGGAACCGGGTTTTGCTGGACCGGAGCTAGTGGACATTGCGGTGGCTGTACAGCGGCACGGTAGTTTACCCGGAACTGCGGTGGAGGCTCGTTTCCGTTAGAACACAGATATGGCATTTCGCCACGCTGCTCTTGCTCGTATCCGCCTGGAGTGGACTGAGAGTCTTCAGAAGGATCATCGTTTACGTTCTGTTCTTCGTCGTCGTTGATGTTCAGGTTATTAAGCGCGTCGTAGGCCGCCCAATACTCCTTGATGAACTCTTGACTGAGCCCTTCGAACGCATCATCACCTTGGGAAGCGGTGTCATCCTCCGCGAACGGTGCTGGAGGGTGTTGTTCTTCAGCATTCTTCATGTTCTTGCGAGGGCTCATTGTGCTCAGTAGTTTGGATACAAGACTATTAGGAGTATAAGTGATGAACTGTCAATAGGATGAGGGTCGTAGATCTCGGATGAGCTATACTTATGTTCAAAGACTTCATCGTCATCAATGGCGTTTGGGTCGACAGCTGATCATTCGACAGGCGATTCGGTTCGATAGATAAGAGATAGCAGACCGATCGCTGTCCTGAATTGCTATTACAAACATGCAGCAGCTGTTTGCAAGGGCTCGTACGCACAATCAAGCAGACGATGTATGAGCGACTGCTAGATCACGCACAGTATTTTTCCGCATCTATCGACTAAGACCTGAGTGTATGACTGTACGGGTATACTCAGTCTTCATACAGCTTTCACAAAAGGTCATGTAGTTCATGATCTCAATCACACTCCCGAGACCAAGAGCCCCATACACACGACAAAAAGGTACGGACAATGATTTATTGTTACAACACAAAGACAAAAACACTTCTAGTTAAGCTTTTTCCACGCTCGGTATCCTTCAACAGCTCCTCGCTGCCACAGGCCTAGACACTAGAAGTCGCGATCTTCGAGGCGCATCCTCCTCTGCCGCTGCATATCGAAAAATCCATCTAAATCGTCTATTCTAGCCTGCAGCAGCGTGTTGAGCCCCTCAAGCCCATCGAGTTCGATGTAAAGCATCTTCAAGACGGACGCAACGGTCGCTAGCACACTTTTGAGTTGAGGGTTATTCCTGGTACCGTAACTGTAGTTTATCAAACTCGAGAACACTTGGTCGTGGGAGTCGTTCGACGTGATAACCACGCCGTCGACTATACGATGCACGAGCGTTGGATATTGGAAAGGTTCGTCGACAGGTAGCTGACTGCAACAAATTTTCTCAGTCTCCTCGGGTACCGATGATGGTGGAAGTGAGCTAGGTTCCTGGACTTCGGTGCCTGGCTCGACCTCCTTCCCTTTGATTTCTTCGTATGGTCGACCTCTCTCGTTCTCTTCCTCCATAGCGGCGCCTTCTTCACAGTCGAAGTCGGACTAGAATTTGTAAAGATTCAAGTTGTTTCGGTCGTAGTTGGAGGTCGTGACTGCTATGATCAACTCGAAAGCATGTAGATGCCGGGCTGTATTACTGGAGAAAAGATTGAAGCTTACAGTGGCTCTACTACGCACGTCGACTAAGTACTTGTACAAAAGCACTGATGGGATCGACCATATGCACCAAGGTGTTGGAATAACTAGCTAAGCATCTACGTAACCGAGTGGAAACGAATATGATGGAAACAGTCTGACAAGTACCACCAAGCGCACTATTGGGCTAAGGAAATGCTCATCAGACGCCAGCGAAGTACATACCAACAAAAGAAACTAGGTAGTAATGAGAAGCCACCGTCCCATGACCAGAGACAAGTCGTCAGCGTCGCCACAATGTCCATTCACGTAACCACGAACCCTCAATCTTTCCAGAGATGTCACTCTTCATGAATGCGATGATCTCTTTCATCTCCGCCATGTTTTGCTCTCGCATTATGGCTTCCGCTTGCGACCTTGGAAAATATTCCACCTGCCATCTTAGTTGATCTAGCCTCTCCATTTTCCTATGCCAAATCCAAAGCAATTCGTGTGATACAGCGGAGGTGGACACTACAAACGCTTGCTGGTTCTCCTGTGTTTGTTGGTTACGTAGCCGCCGCGCTCGCTCTTCATCGTGGTCGTTCATACCGGAATTCGATGGATCTTCATGGCGTGGGGTTCGGTTACGTCTGCTTAACCAATTGGGAAGCCGAGATGGAGACATGATTTGCTGGCGGTGTTGCTCTGCTCACTTTCTGTTCGATACCTGTGCGTTGTAGTGGTTCTGACGAATAGATATAGGTAACCAGATCAGTAAGTTTGCCACGTACCAAACGCTCCGTATTGACACGTCTTGAATGAAGAGAGGCAAACCGAGAAATCTGACGATAAACCGTGAAAGAGCTAGAATAGCCTCATAGATAGGCAAACATATGCATGCGAGGGCGCTGCGCGGGGAAGACTATCCATTGTCCTATTCTACTACCGATTGGACGATTAATCTACCAACTCATTATCCCCAATCGCATCTCCCAAGTTCCCTAACAAACGTATCAGCTCGTCTCTTGCAGACCTTCTGATACGTTGATTAGAATGAGCTACGTCGTCGAGAAGAGCATCAATATCCAACAAACTTGCACGCCAATTGTCTCGCAATTCTCTGTTTGTGACAGCCAGTCTACGAGGAGCGCACATGTCGTTGTGACTTAGTCCGGAAACTGGATTTATACGTGCGGCAAGTAAAATGGAGTTGCTTTGGTGACGCCTGGGGACCAGACAGCCCGCATCGTCAAAGTCGTAGTAGCCCCAGTGCGTGTATTGAGAACTTGTACCAGGCAAGGCATGGAAGTCACCGCCTGGCCAGTAACTCATGATGAACTTTGACTGTTGATGATTGTGAAGAGGGTTATGAGGATAGTAGATGATGGTATGATGCGACTGAGAATGGGATGAGTTATATAGAGCAGGCTGATGATGAAATGCTGGCGGTGATGGGTGACCTGGCGGATAGCTACAGCACCAACTGGCCGCCAACTAAAGAACAGAGCACAGGTACGTAGATAGCTCAGGCGGTTTTGTCTACTAACAGCATGAATCAAGTGAAAATGATACCGCCGTCAATGACGATAGTCTGGCCCGTCATGTAGTCGCTGTCCTTACTGCATAGGAAGCTCACCGTACTGCTCACGTCCTCTGGTACACTAGTCCGACCCAACGCAATCAGTTCGTCGGTGTACTTCTTGATCGTGTCGCCCTTCTTCGCGCCGGTCTTCTCACCGAGCTTCTCGTCAATGAGATCCCACATGGCTGTACCGACGATGCCGGGCGCGTAGGCGTTCACGGTGATTTTGTGTTCAGCCATTTCCATGGCGAAAGCTTGAGTAAGTCCACGGACCGCCCATTTGGAGGCGCTGTAGTGAGATAGTAGTGCGAAGGGCTTGAATGCCACGATTGACGCTGCGCCTAGGATCTTGCCGCCGTTGCCTTGCGAGATCATCTGCTTAGCGGCTGTGGAGTAGCAGTTGTAGACGCCGTATACTGCAAATGTATTAGTGGGCCGTCTTCATGCTGTTCGGAAAAGCACTTACCATTGACTTCGAACATGCGCTTGAGATCTTGTTCCGTAAGATCGAGAAGTGCTTTGACCTGTGCGATACCGGCATTCGCTACCATGGTGTTCAAAGGACCTAATTCCGAGACAGATGCTTTCACCAGGCCTTGAACCTCGCTCAAGTTCGATACATCGGCTGTGTACGCGAAAGACCTTCTCCCCAGGCCTTGTATCTCTTTGACAACTTCATCTGCGCCAGATTTGTTGGCTTCAATATCGTTGATGCAGACATCGTATCCGTCATTGGCTAGTCGAAGAGCAATGGCCTTGCCGCTGTTACAGGTTAGTCAACCCTATTAAGTGCATTCATTAAGTACATGAGTCTCACATTCCGCGAGCAGAGCCCGTTACGATGGCTGTTCTATTCTGGTCTGAAGTGACTGCGTAGCTACGCGCCCATCGTGGTGCTCGGGAAGCCACTCGTGGTATACTTGCGAGTCTGGGTACTGCTTGACACACTGTTCTTGTTGGTAGACGAAACGACATGTTGATTGTTGTTCTGGTGTGATAGCAAGTCGAGAGCCCGATACGAAGAAGAGAAGGAGAGGTAAACTAAGGAGACAACGAGGCAGTCGAGCATGCACCTCAGCGGCTACATATGCATATACATTACCCCAGATCTCCTCATCGACAGTACCGGCAAGCTAAGATGGGCTAACCGGGCATGCGGAACAGGCGTAGCGTATGCATAACCCCTCTCGTGCCATGGGCATGTCGGTCGCATGGCGCAAACCTACGCATCCTCATCGGGTTTAAGAGGTCCGGGAATGACGTTGATAACCTCGCCATTCTACTGCGGGTGCGATAGTCACACGAGTCGAGCGGTACGGTTCCGCACGCTTGTTTGAGCAGGTATGAGTCGAGTTTGGGAAAAGCATCGTTAACGACAGACGCGTGATGAGGAGAGCTAGTGTTGAGTGAAGGTGCGGGGAACTTCGGGGGTGCCAAGGAATCGCGAGTCTTCGTCCCGAACACGACAAAGCGCGTCGGGCACCGATCGCGCATACCATTGCTAGACGCGAACTACACCATGTCGCGCATGAGTATGGCGCCGCAGCGCAATCTGTCGCTGACAGAGGAACTGGAGAAGCTAGAGCAGTCTATCACTCTCACACTGCAAGGTAAACACAGCGTCGAGCACCCCACCATCGCGACTGACCCAAGCAGAAATCGACCAAAACTTCAGCCGCGCCCATCGCATCGTAACAACCGGTATCCTGCCAATCGTCGAACAATACGGAAAACACTCGGAAGCTGTTTGGGAAGGCTCCAAGTTCTGGAAACAGTTCTTCGAGGCTAGCGCAAATGTCTCACTTTCGGGCTACGAAGCCCCCGAGCAAGACGAATCAGCTGTACAAGACGAGACTGAACAGTCACAAACGTACGATGACGAGACGGTCGAGGACGAGGATACCGTGACTGGAACGACGACCACACCACCACGGCCCTTGTCCGCACAAGAAGACGCCGAATCGACTCTCGGTTTCGACTCGCCCTCGCTCGGTCACAGCACTCCGCGGGCTCCACCTTCCACCACAAGAGGCAAACACCACGAGGACGAGGAAGAGAGCGAATGTGAGGAGCAGCCTCAGTTCGCTGGCATGTCTTCGCCTTACGAGGCATTGAAGTCCGAGTTTAGACCCAACATTGGCGGCACGAAGACGCCGAAGCTGGAGCCCGTCACGCCTGGCAAGTCGCAAGCTCTTCCAGACATGAGCGGCTTTGAATCTTCGCCCTTCATGCAGCCCACCGCCACGAAACAATCTTTTGTTAACAACGACCCGCTACTCCATCGCGTTCTAGACAAGACATACCGCGTACAAGCTACACCA